CCTGATCTACTCAAGCCTCTTGATCAAAAGCGACCAGTTTACTGGAGTAAAGAAAAAGATGACTATTCAAGAAATCAATCAGATCAGTCCAAACTTTGGGGTATCCTATAGAAAAGTGATCCAGTTTCCCCAACAAATAAGTGATATGCAAAATAGGAGGGGGGACTTGAGACTTACCATCAAAGGCAATATACAGACCAGAATGGATCTGATTTGAACAAACGAGCTATAAAAATATATTTTTGAAACAAGTGGAGAAATGTGAACATAGACTAGAAACTAACTACAAATAAATTATTAGGTTTTGGTTTTATATTAAATGAGATAATGGCATTGTCATATAAAAAAGTACATGAAAAATATGACGTCTGAGGTTTTATAATATTCAAGCAAGAATCCAAAGCAAAACAAGTTTGGAGGGGAGAATAAACCACAATAGTCAACAGAATTCATTGCTTTTTTTTTTTTTTTTCCAGATATACATACATATATACATATATATATATATATATATATATATATATATATATCTGCATATTACTCTTTTATTAGATACGTAGGATAGAGGTTTGGTGCATTGTAGAGGGCCATCTGAGAAGGCACATGAATCCAAAAGTAAAGGCGTATGGAAGAGCAGCAAGTCATCCAAAAGTAAAGACATCCTTTACTTACTGTTGTCCAGGTGTCAGCAGGGGCGGGTTTAGATATGTAAATCCAGTAATGCTAGGGCCTAGTTAAGGATGCAAATAAGCTCCTTTGACCCTATAAAATAAACCTGCTGTGTGGCTCTGGCCGCTTGTTGCCTCTCCATCAGAGAGGATGGCGCCCACCTAGCACCCAAGCTTGATGAATCTACTTCTGCCTCTTGGTCTTTCTTTCTTCAATTTCTTAATCCCCAGCTCCTCTACTCAGCAACCTGACTGTTTCCTTTTCCTTGATGGAGATGGACACAGAAAACAGAGAAACAGCCCCCTGCTGTGAATGGTTGGGAGCCAGCTGGTTTGCCCTGAAGGGTGTCCTGGATCAGGGTGGGGGTTCCCTTGGAATGTGGGGTGGCCTGGGTGAGGGGCCTGTGGTGGTTTGCAGGCCAGCCATGTCCCCCCAGCAACCCAAGCGGAGGCCCTGGTATCTGGTATTTATTTATCTTCTACAATTGAAACTTTGTAACCCTGAGTGGAGGCCTAGGCCAGCAAGGGCAGGCGGAAAGCTTGGCTTCCTCCATCGCCCAGGAAACCAAAACTTCTCACTCTCTCCATGGCCGCAGCCATCTTGGTTGGGTTAATTTGCATAATTACTCCTGATTGGCTGGTGGGTGTGGCCCGTGGGTGTAGCAGAGTGGTGGTTAATTTACATATTGCTATTTTATTAGATAGGATGGTTTCTATCTCTTTTCCTATCCCTTCTCTTTGTAATTAATAAAAAAATGTATTTAAAAAATAGAAAATTAAAAATTACATCTCTATTCAAAATTACTATTTTCACTCACCAATTCTCAAGAAAAATTGTGACTTGGAGAAAAAGGAAGGATAAAAGCTCAGACTGTTTGCTTAGCCTGCTTATCTCAATTTTACTTCCTCTCAACCATTTATCTAATTCAGATACTGAGCCCATTTATAAGTTACGAGACTCTTCTGGTGGCACAAGCCTTCAGGGAAATATGCATTCCCAGCTTTGGAGCTTTAGTTATTTCAGATACAAAAAGGCCCCTGTCTTTAATTGTGTTGATACTGTTCATTATTATCAAAGCAATGTCTAAGTTTTAATTCCTCAACTCTGCTAAGCAACTCTGAACCAAATCTCTGTATTGCTTACTGCCCTCATTGCTTTATTTAAAAAAAAAAAAAAAAAAAAAAAAGTTCCCTGCTCCCCTGGAAGAAGTCAGAAGACATGAAGTCATTCATTGGGTTTGCTTTTCTACGTCTTCCCTTCAATCAGAAATAGATTAGATCCCAGCCGATATCAAGGATTCAAGACAACAAAACCAAACAAGCAATAAAAAATCCAATATTATTTTATCATACTCTATAAAAAATGTTGCAACATATAATGTTTGCTTTCATTTTCAGTCTTTGACTTTCTGTTATTTATACTCTGTCCTATTGCAGCTATACATTACTTTTAGTCTTTTATGAGGTTATAATATTAAAAGAGAAGACTGTACACAAACCATGTCCTGGGCAAAGACTCAAGTTGTACACAACAGAAATGGGAATTAACTGATCTAAGCAGAAAAACAACTTGCTGAAAAGACTGAGTAGCTCACAGAATTTCCAAAAAGGATGCAGAACAGTACCAGGGAAACAGCAGATATGAGAGCAGGAGCACCACAGCAAAACACATACTACAAACCCAGGGAGATCCAGCACTTCACCGCTGCCTCCAGAAATTCCATTTTGCTAAGGCTGCAGCTGCTATCACCATCAAACACCAGATTCTCAGGAATTTAGCTTCTTTGCAACCACTTGATTCCTGATTCAGTCTAACACCCTGAACTCTGGCCAAGTTCAGACCTTAGCTGCTAGGAAGGCTGGAAAAGTGATCAACTGTTTGTTTTGTTTTTTATTGTTGTTGTGTGTTTTTTGTTTGTTTGTTTGTTTTTCAGTTTTTACCAGGAGCCCTGTCTACTACCCTTATTCACAAAGGAAGTAATTCTCCCAACATAGGAAGGAGCTTCAGGTGGAAATGACAATTCAGAGGGTTTTTTTGTTTGTTTCTACACTCAAGATTATTTGGTAGGGTTTTTGTTTTTTTTTAACTTTTAATTGCTTTCAGAGAGAAAGAGGGAAAGAGAGAGACATCAATGATGAGATGAGAGAGAATCATTGATCAGCTGCCTCCTGCATTACCCCCTACTCAGGATCCAGTCTGCAACCAGGTCATGTGCCCTTGACCGGTAACAGAATCTAAGACCCCTCAATCCACAGGCCGACACTCTACCCACTGAGCCAAACCAGCTAGGGCTATTTGGTAGCTTCTCATTATCAGAAGAAAATGAAAATATTTTAGAATTTCTCCAATTTATGTCAATTTAAGTTTACTTTTAGAGACAACCCAGGCTCAAATAACATTTTCACATATTTACATGCTAACGAATTATTGTTCATAAACTACTTTACAGTGAAAGTAGAAACAGACCCTAGACTGAATATTTTCTCTTTCCTATAATGTTCCTCAATCGGATAGCACTTCACCTAAGTGGAATTCTGCTGTTTAAACAATTGCCCCATCTGGAACAACAACAATCAAAAAATCCAAAAAGACCCTTGAAATCATAAACTAGGTATCACCAAATCTACTCTTTAGTTAAGAGCAGATTTCTGCCCCAAACAATTAAACAAAAGCCAACAAGTCTTTGCTTTCTCTCAAAGCCCATCTTCTCCCATTTTACTTGTACTACTCAGCTTCATGACTTTTTCCAGCTGATTCTATTAATATATTAAAAGCGGGAGGAAAGGAAAACTGATAAAAATCTACAAAAAGCAAATAAATGTAAGAACTAGAAACAAACAAACAAAAACAAAAACAGTCAGTAGATGACAGGGTCAGGTCGAGGGGCAAGGCAGCAAAGGCTGGAATCAGAGGAGGTTGAGTGTGACTGTGGCCAGGGCGCTGGGGGCAGGAAAAGGAAAGAGAAAGAGAACAGAGACAGGCAAACCAAGGGCGGTAACCTCCCTCAGGCAATAGAGGGTGAAGGGGAGGGGAGGGGAGAGGAGAATAGTGCTTAAGGAAGGTTCTAGAAGTAGAGACTGGGGTTTCCTTTTCTGTGGAATGTATGCATTATGTGGAGTGGACTAATGTTTAAGTTTTTTGATAAATGCCACCCCCAATCCAATACATCTTCAGGTGGGGTGTCACAGCTGGGGATCACCGAAACCTCTGACTCTCCTCCAAGTACCATTTTTGTTCAGCTTTAAATTCTGCACTTAGTGTTTAAAAAAATAATTCTGTTTTGATTTCAAATATGAATTGTAATATTCAAAAAGCGTGTTCAAACATCTCACCTCCTTCATAACCCTTCCTTCCATCCTCCGTGAGAATAGCGGGGGTAGAGGAGTCCCAAAGTTAACAGTATCAGGATTTCGCGTACAACTACCTACCATTAAAAAATGGTTCCTGTGGAAAACCTCACTCCTCTCGGTGGGACTAGTCCTCTCCCAACCATCGAGGATGCCCCATAACAGCCACTAGATTACGAGGAGTGTGCCTCCACCGCACCCGGCCCTCAGCACGGCTCCGGGTTCAAACTCATCTTTTTTTTCTTTTAATATATATTTTATTGATTTTTTTTTTTTTTTTTTTAGAGAGAGGAAGGGTGAGAGATAGAGAGTTAGAAATATCGATGAGAGAGAAACATCGATCAGCTGCCTCCTGCACACCCCCTACTTGACCGGAATCGAACCCGGGACCTTTCAGTCCGCAGGCCGATGTTTTATCCACTGGGCCAAACCGGTTTCGGCAGGGTTCAAATTCATCTTAACCTCCGGTAGCCGCCCAGCTGGTTCCTAAGGGGCCCCACCTCCAACCCCTTCCGCCCCGACGCAGGCCTCACAGCCCCGCCCCCGGCTCCCTCACCTGCAGCCGAGCCGCCGCACACTCTCCGCTAGGGAATCTTGGAGCCGGGCCGAGTCACGTGGCACCACGATCACCTGCCTAGCGGTCTCACGCACCCGGTTCCCGGGTCAACTGGGAAGCGAGCGCTGGGCGTGGGGAGGACCCCGCACTGGAACGAGCGTGGCCGCTGGCAACCGCTCGCTCTCGCGAGATCTGTGAGGTCACGTGACGGCGTGGGTGAGACGACGCTTCACGTGACGGGGCGCAGCCGGCCGCCAGGGTCTCTTTTTTTCTGCCGCGAGCACCGCAGCTGCTGGGCCTCTAGACCGAGGGATCCGCCGCTCTCACGCCGGCCCCCAGCGCTTTCCCCAGCGCCTTCCCCAGCGCCCATCCTCCGGCGGCCCAACCACCGACCCCTCGGGGCTCCCGATCCGGCGGCCCTGGTGCCCATGGCGGCCCCCGGTGGCGCCCGGCGGCAGCCGCTGCTCCTGCTGTTACTCGGTGAGAGAGGGGTCAGGCCAGGAGCGGGGGGCCGCGGGGAGGGCGGACTACAGAGGTCTGGGGGCTGCGCGGTGGGGCTCGGGAGCGCGGGAGGCCTGCGGGGAGGGCGTCTTCGCGAGGGTAGGGGAGGACGGAGAACTACACGGAGTCCCGGGGGCTACAAAGTCCGGGAGCTGCGGGCTGGGCCCGGGCGACGGGCGGGCCCGCGAGTCGTCCTTCCCCCCCCCCCCCGCACACTTGCGAGGTCCTCACGTGGGGACGGTCCGGCTGGAGCCCGCTGGCCGCCGCCTGGGGAGTCGGATCCAGTTGCCGAGAGGTGGGCGAGGGAGGTTCTCAGCCGAGGGCCTGTTCCCCCTGGGGCCACTCCACTCGCTTTCTGGGGTGTTACGTGTATTCCGAGTTGGGTGACTTGGTGGTTTCTGGAAGGTGTGCTTTGTTTCTCTAACTTACGGGCAAGTTCGGCCTCAAAGGTGCAGGGGTTGGCTCTGCGCCCCGAGACGCCGGGACCTGCGCGGTCCCTCGGTGCTGCCGGCGGGCGATCCACCTGGTGCGGCTTCCAACGCGGGTCTTAAACCAGAAAAGAATAAGGCGGCGTGGGGACCCCGGCCTTTTAGAATTCGTCCTTGGCCTGTTTAAAAGGACCTTTGCCTGTTTTTCAGCATGGCCTGCCGTGCGTTACATGTTACCGCGAATTTAAGTTTGTGCTGGAATGACTTAAGGAGTTTGGGACAACTCATAGGGGGCAACATGAGAGGTAGGAGCAGGCCTCCGCTTCTCAGTGGCAGTGCTCCTGTCTGGTGGATCCTTGTAAAGAGCTGCTGCCACTGATCTACGTGCGGGTTCCTGTGAGTCAAAATGCGGGACTCAACACGTTGGGAAGCTCTGGCACTCCACCACTCTGCATAGTTCATAGGAAGCAGTCAGTGGGTGCTCAGCATTTTCTTGATGGAGAGATTTTATTTTCATTTGTCTGGCCTAATAAGAAAGAGGAATCTGTGCTGTTTTGTTAAACGGTAATCAGTGCGTGGTTTGATTTTTAAGTCTGTTTAGAGGCCATCTGTCTATTGGCACTCTTTCTCTCTCACTCCCAAATAATACGGGAAGGTTTGTCTAAGTGGTAGGATCTGAAATACGATAGGAGTTCACGTGAGTTAAGTAGATACAGATACACATCTCCTGCCCATAAATTCTTCCAATATCTCTTGTTTCATCTTACTCTAAAATTCTGTTTATTGTGATGGAGTAAATTTTGGTTTGCCGTTTTTTTTGTGTTGCCTGTTATGTAAAATTCGTTTTTTGAGCTGCGTGGCGAGCCACAAGGGATGACCTTATTCCAGCAGTAAACCCGAAGCCTTGCCCTTCACTGGCAGGTGTTACAAGAGGAGTTGCTGGAATAAGTTTTGTCATGTCAGAACGGCTGCATTGTGATTTATTGGAAGAGCTCACAAGCATTAGGACTTGAATATTTTGTTTCATGGTTTAAAAGCTCATCTTAAAAATGAAGAAAATTCATAACCTCTCTACATGGCAATTACTTGAAATATTGTGTGTGCGATTAACTTCTTAATGCCCATTGCATCGTATCTTTTCAGTTTTAAATTCAACTAAAATCTATCTTTTTTTAAAGGTCCATTAACTTGGATTTAGGTCTATTTTTTTTTTCCTTTTGCTTAGGTCTATTTAAAAAAAATAATGTTTATTTTAATACACAATTTCACTAAAAAGCATATTTTCTAAAAATAGAACAAGCTTCTAAATTACTAATCCCTCCTACATTAATGAGTAGAAACTACTTGCATCTTCTTTTGTGTCGTCGTATAAATGAGTGTAACTCTTTAAACCATTGATGTCAACTAGGTGGCTTCCTTTCACTTTCCAAATGAAAAACTGTCACTACAGCAGTCCTCAGGCGGTAGTCCTTGTCCAACTGGTGGTCCATAAGGTTTGAATGGTTAGCGACTGCTGATAAGAAGTATTGGGTTTTATGTTAATTAATCTTACACTTGCTTGTGGGAGTTTGTCAATTGTCTCAAGTTTACAACCAAATTCTTTGAGATTTGAGATGGAAATGTTTTGGGTTGATAATTTTGAATTTACATACTATTTACAAAATTGCAGTCCCATTCCAGCCAGTATTAGTATTCGCTCTGTTTGTGTCCACAGAACTTGACTACATGCTACAGCATGTTCTTTTACTATATAGAACATTGATTCAGCTGAGTTGTGATTATTTTTGCACTTGTATTTTCCTTCCCCATCTTACAGCCCAGCTCATGCCTCACACATAGTAAGTGCTCAGTTTTACAGGAGTGGTTTCTAACCAAACATGCGTAAGTCAGCATTTTAGAAATCTACATACTCATACCCTGCCTTTAGAGGTTGTGGTTCATTTCAAAAGTGAGTGTTTCATAATTTAAAGCATATTTGCTTGCTCAATGAGTGCTGGAGAGAAAGCATGGTTCCAGCCATGGCACTCACCCTGCAGCCAGCCCACACTAGCATGGGTGGACATGCTCTGAGTCAGCAGACCTGGCTCTGTATCACTCACTAGCTGTGTGACCTTGCACACGTTAGTTCACATCTCTCTGCCTTAGTCTCTACATCTGTAAAGGAGAATCATAATATATCTACCAATTAAGATTGTCATGATAATTTATCAGTGATGTGCTTGGAGCTATAATTGGCACGTAGCAAGTGCATTACAAGTGCTTATTAAATAATTGACATTTTGTGTTCAATGATGAACTTGATAGAGAACTTTATAGCATTGAATATTTAAAAAATAATAGCTAATATAATCAGTGCTAATACCTTGTATTGAACACTCTGCATGTTTTTGGCTCAATTTGATGCTCTAATGGCCCTGTTGGGTCAGCACTCTAATTTCCATTTGCAAGTACCTAAACCAAAGGTACCTGGCCAAAAGTCACACAGTAGTAGGGGAGCCTGTCATAGAATCAAGATCTCTTACTCTCAAGCAGGCATGTTTCCCATAGCTGCATTTGTTTTAAAAATTGGAATTTCTACAAGTAGGAATGATTTTTAAAAAATATATTTTATTGATTTTTTACAGAGAGGAAGAGAGAGAGAGAGAGAATTAGAAACATCTATGAGAGAGAAACATTGATCAGCTAGCTGCCTCTTGCACACTCCCTACTGGGTATGTGCCCTTGACCAGAATCGAACCTGGGACCTTTGAGTCCGCAGGCCGACGCTCTATCCACTGAACCAAACAGGTTAGGGCAACAAGTAGGAATGTTTTAAAGGAATATCTGACAAAGTTACTCCTTTATGTAATCCCTAGAGAAATGATCAAGTTCTCATCTGAGTGAAGTACTGCTAGAGATTAGCAGTTGCCAGTAGGCCAGGATGCTGACTTTTGAGAGGGACACCCCTCAAATTGCTGCAAACATTTTAACTGGCTTGAGAAGGGTCTTTTTTTTTTTTTTTTTTTTCTTCATCAACTGCCACTGTTACAGAATTCTTTAAAAAAAAAAAATAGACTATGATCATTACATACATAATAATCTCTTCGAATTTTATGTCCTAATCCTCTTGTAGACATTTTTCTCAGGATCAAAATTGGCTTCTAGGGTATGTTTCTTATTTTAATCATTGAACATTTCTGGGCCTCTCCAGAATGAATGTGGGCATCTAGTGCTGCTAAAGCTTATATTGTTTTAGTAATACTTTGGTTTCTTTGAAAGATCAGCCCCTCATCATGTTTACTAAATGAAAAGTTATATGATTGAAAGGTACTTAATGTGAAATGTTTACAAATGAAGTGCTTTGAGTCAGTAGAAAGTTTTTTTTTTTGTTGTTGTTGTTGTTTTAATGATTCAGGAACTGTTTTATCAAAGGTCAGCTTGATGAGAACTGACCTACGTGTGCTCCCATGGGAGACAGTGACTTGCTGTGCCCATGACACGTGATCGAATGTGACAGACTCTCCAGCCAAGGGACCAGGCTAGGTGAGGGTGTTTCAGGCACACAGTGGCCCCGGTAACGTGCCCATGAGCTAACACACACTTTTGCTTCTACCGGCCAGCTTTGCTTTTCCCTCTGGAATGCTTTACCCATCCTCTCAGAAAGCACGTGTTTTAAAAATCTTGATTGTGCCAAGACCGGTTTGGCTCAATGGATAGAGCGTCGGCTTGGGGATTGAAGGGTCCCGGGTTCGATTCCGGTCAAGGGCATGTACCTTGGTTGCGGGCACATCCCCTGTAGGGGGTGTGCAAGAGGCAGCTGATCGATGACTCTCTTTCATTGATGTTTCTAACTCTCTCTCTCTCCCTTCCTCTCTGTACAAAATCAATAAAATATATTAAAAAAATAAAAATAAAAATCTTGATTGTGTCAAAAACAAGTTAAGGAATAATTTTCTCTAAGCATTTTAAATAAAATGTTCAATTTATTGAAAATGCTTTTAGAGCCGGGACCGGTTTGGCTCAGTGGATAGAGCGTCGGCCTGTGGACTGAAAGGTCCCGGGTTCGATTCCGGTCGAGGGCATGTACCTTGGTTGAGGGCACATCCCCAGTAGGGGGTGTGCAAGAGGCAGCTGGTTGATGTTTCTCTCTCATCGACGTTTCTAACTCTCTATCCCTCTCTCTTTCTCTCTGTGAAAAATCAATAAAATATATAAAAAAAAAAAAAAAAAAGAAAAAAAGAAAAAGAAAATGCTTTTAGAGTTAGTTATCTTGCCTGAGTATTCCAGAGGTGGGTTAAAATTTTGCAAATCAAAACAAAACAAAAACAAAAATGTCCACAGGTTTTCCTGTTTAGCATAGTTTGCTTTATTTTGGTGTAGCAACTCTTCTTAAAAAAAAAAAAAAAATATATATATATATATATATATATATATATATATATTATTGATTTTTTTTTTTTTTTTTTTTTTTTTACATAGAGGAAGGGAGAGAGATAGAGAGTTAGAAACATCGATGAGCCGGAACCGGTTTGGCTCAATGGATAGAGCATCGGCTTGGGGACTGAAAGGTCCCGGGTTCAATTCCGGTCAAGGGCATGTACCTTGGTTGCGGGCATATCCCCAGTGGGGGGTGTGCAAGAGGCAGCTGATCGATGACTCTCTCTCATCGATATTTCTAACTCTGTATCTCTCTCCCTTCCTCTCTGTACAAAATCAATAAAATATATTTAAAAAGAAAAAAAGAAAAAAGAAACATCGATGAGAGTGAAACATTGATCAGCTGCCTCCTGCACACTCCTTACTGGGGATGTGCCCACAAGCAAGGTATCGAACACATGCCCTTGACTGGAATCGAACCTGGGACCCTTGAGTCTGCAGGCTGATGCTCTATCCACTGAGCAAAACCAGTTAGGGTGCAACTCTTCTTTATGCACAAAGATTTTGGTATTTTCTTTACCAGAGGCTTATGGGAAGATATGTGAGGTTTCTGGCTATACTCTTTACTTTAGCCTTGACTTGTTGGCTCTAAAGATTTATTTTGTGAAAATCTCAAGGATAAAATGAATTGGTTTAATTGGAGACATTTATTTTGCCAGGGACAAGGGATTTAGAATAAGAGAGTTAATTCTGAGTATGCTGCTTCAGAACGTGCAAGTCATATTTTGCCCTTAGAGTGATCAGAGCCAGGTGTGGAAATGCTTGCTTGGTAAAGGGCATGTAGGAGCTTGTAGCAGCAGAGACAGGGAGGAGCACACCACTCCTGAATGTTATAGTACCCTGTGATGGCTGACAGCTCTTCGGTTTTAAACCAATTTTTACCCATCTATGAAAGAACATGTACTAAAATGTACCACTTGTAAAATTATCTACTTCTGTACCATACTGATCAGATTACATTTGCTACTAAACGGCTTGATCAGGGTGGTGGGATATGAAGAAGCCAGAGGTGGCACTGGCTCTGAGACCTTAAAGAGATATATTTAGCAGTGATCACTCTCAAGCTAGAAAGATCCATGAGATTTTCACTCTGTCCCATGCCCTACCTAGACAGATTGACTGAAGTCCTAAGATCACACAGCCAAGTCCAGGTTCTCTTTAATTACTGTTTTTTGAGAACCTTTCTGAAATTGGGCAAAAATCTTAGATCTTTGAGACCATGACTTTTCTTCCACACCACCAGTCCATGGGAGATAAAAACATATCTAACCTTAAATAGCGGTCTAATTCCATAGTTGAAGATAACATCAGATCTTCCATGGATTTCTGTAGAAGGTCAGTATTTAGGTTGAATTGTGCCTCCATGACCCCATAGAATTTCCTGAGGAACCAGAGTAGAGCACTTATGCCCCTTGGCGACCCAGAAATTAACATGTGACTTCCTGATAAGTATTCTGATAAAATCTATTATTGCAGTTGAAGACAATAGAAATACCCCAGATATTTTCTTAAAGATTTTTGGTAATTTTTGTCTCTCCTGGAGTTAGCAGGCCTTGTGTACAGTACATCAGCAGTGTTCTTTGAGGTGAAGGATGGCAACGGGACAGCTTGTATAATGGCCAACTTCTCTGCTGACTTCGTGACCAACTATAATACCCAGAGTGGCTCTAAGGTAGGAAACAGCCCATTGTGTACGCACATGTGTGTGTGTGTGTGTGTGTGTGTGTGTGTGTGTGTACACAAAAGAGAAGATTATTAAAAAATTTCAAGTAAATGTTTGAAAAATCCCTCCTTAACATAGTTATCTTAATGTGTGCATAGTTCCTTCTCAGCTCCTCAGTAGCCTATGCTGTATTGTATACTGAAGTTGCAGTCAAAATATACAAACCATTTTGTGTGCTCTGCTTTCACTGTTTTAGTATAGCATTTTTTCAGTTTTCTTTGTAATTATCTTTTGTAATACTTCATTATGTTAATCAACCTTATGTGTTAAACCATCCCACTGTTAAGTATATCTGTTGAATTTATTCTTTATAAAGTATCACACTCCACAATTGTATATAAACAGTTAATGTGCAATGCCATAAGTATTGTGCTAATTTGATAAATGTTTTTAGTTTTTTTGTTAAAACGACTCTGTACTTCTACAGGATAGGCTTTTGCATTTCTAACAAATAAACAGCATTTGTATTTCTTCTTAGTTTAGTCAGTTACCTATTAATGATATTCCACTTATTTTATTTACCATGTACTCTTTTAAATATATCCTTAATTCACATTTTGTTTTCAATTCCTATTTTTCTTTATCTCCATTTCAATAGTGTCATATCTTTTTACCACCACTCAAAGGGCAATGGTGAGGCCCAGGATTGCTGGGAGATCAGCAGTTTCTTTAGCGCACTCTGGACTTTGTGCCAGCTGCTCAGCCTCATTAATTCATTTGTACTGGTCTAGAGACAAATGTGGTCTCTGTCAAAACAGAAGAAAACTGGGAAGGTTTTGTTCTGTAGAAAAGTCTCGAATTCTAAAGACTTGGCCAAGCACCTTTTATTTTCATTTCTATTCACTATATTTTGTGCTTAGATTTTTAAAATATTGTCTTGTTACATATTACTTATTACACAAATGGGATCATCCATATGCAGTCATGTGCCTCACTATTTTGCAAAGCATGTCTTCATCACCTTGTGTAGTTCTGTCTTTTTTTAGGACAGAATTTGTATACAGCTTAACCATAATTCTTTTATTTTAGTCAGCCCAGTTCATTTTGATGGACAGCAGGTTGTTTTCTAGTTGTTTGTTTTGCATATAATAATAAATTCAAGCAATTCTGTGTAAACACCTTTTCTTTGTTTAAACAGACATATTCTTTAAATATTTCTATGGCAAACAAGTAGTAATAGGTTTCAAATAGAAATACACATTTTATCTTGAAACCCAATGTGAATTATGAGTTTACTAAGATAATTTTAGTTTTAATTCTGTTCTGTTGCAAGTTAAAATTATATTAATGAAGATTTTGTAATTATATGAAAAATTAAGTCACCTTTTCTAACACTTGAATTACTTTATTTTTTTAATCCTCACCCAAGAGTATGGTTTTATTGATCTTCAGAGAGAGAGGAAGGGGGGGAGAGAGAGAGAAAGAAACATTGATGAGAGAGAAACATCGACATACTCCCACCAGAAATCAAATCTGCAACCAAGGTATATTATTCCCGGACTGGGAATGGAACCGGCAGCCTTTTGGTATGTGGAACGATGCTCCAACCAACTGAGCCACGCCAGCCGGGCTTGAATTGTTTTTCTTACTGAAATGTAATGCTGCTTTTCTTTGTATTTTTTTGTTTATATTAAAAATACCTTAACAATGCCATCTGAGATGGAACTGAGGAACTGAGTTTATGTCATACTTACAAAATATCTTTATTTAGTGTTTCTGAATTCCTTTAATAATCTACATTCTAATTGGGTTCTGTTGACATTGTGTTTGTTCTAGAATTCGACCTTCACCCTGCCACCTACTGCAGAAGTATTAAATAGCAGCTCCTGCGGTAAAGGGAATGCTTCTAACCCCAGTCTCATGATTGCTTTTGGAAATGGACATATACTGACCCTCAGTTTCGCAAGAAATGCTACACGTTACAGTGTCCAGATGATGCGTTTTGTTTATAACTTGTCAGACACACATATTTTTCCTAATGCAAGCTCCCAGGGTAAGAACAAAAATTGACCGATTATGAAGTGAAGAAAATTGGTTTGGGGTAGTGTCTAAAATTACTTTTAACTAAGTAATTAAAAATTTATTCCTTTCTAATATAGGACCCAAGACTGTAGAATCCATAACTGACATCATGGCGGACATAAATAAAAAATACAGATGTGTGAGCAGCAACCAGATCCACATGAATAATGTAACTGTCACATTCATTGATGCCACCATCCAGGCATACCTTTCAACTGATAGCTTCAGCAAGGAAGGTAAGACACTGCCCTTGGCCCTGATGTCATTAGTCTGACTTCACTGAATGCAGAAGCAGCTTTGTATTCTGGTGCCCGAGAGAATTAGGTATGGATGAGCATCTGTGTAGCTGGGGACAGAGCAGGCAGCTTATGTCTTAGAAGAGCTATCCACTAGACCTTTTTTCTCTTTAGAGATGACCTCTTTAGATTAGGACAAAATTGATCAAAAAGGGGTAAAAGGGCAAAGAGTTGAAAGCCTCTCTGGGTGTTCCCTTGTTAGAGCTAATGGAGTCCGGGGAGCTCAGGCAGACCTTAGGGGCAGATGGTGAAAGGACTCTGAGTGCCTTTCTGAGGGGATCATGACATACACACTCATACCCCACGAGCTACCTGCCAACCTAGCTCCATGGTCTTGGCTAAGGTAGTCAACCTCTCATTTCCGTCACTTGTAAAATCAGGAAAATAACTTGTGTTAGATGGTTGTTAGGATTTAAAAGGAAATTGATGCAAAGTAGGTCTCTCAGTGCCTGGCACAGAGTAAGAAATAGGGCTGTCATTTTACTTAGACTTAAGAAAATTCTCTTTCCCAAATTCCACTAATCAACTAACAGATTAGTGTTATTTTTCTAAGGAGTGAGGGGATAAGGAGTTGGTTGCCTTGGGGAAGTTGTGTCTGCCTGCTAGAGGGTGTGTTAAGAAAAGCTGCTCATTTTAACCTTTTTGAATTTATTGGGGTAACATTGGTTAATCAGGTTATGTAGGTTTCCAATGTACAATGCTATAATATATCACCTACATATTGTATGGGTGTTTTCCACCCCCAAGTCTGGTCTCCTTCCATCATCATATATCTCCCCAACCTCCTCCTCCTCTTTAGACCTGCTGGGCCTTTGATTTGCATTGTTCCCTAGTGGTCTTGCTTGAAGGCTCGGAGTGACTGTTGGAGAGTGGCTAATTTGCACCGTCATCAGAGCTAATTAGCAGGATGAACCAGTCGGCTCTTCTGTGCAGCTTGTACAGCCCTCAAAGACAGGGCTACTTTTAGCAGGGCTGCCAAACTGGGCTGCAGGCCTGGTCCAGCCTGCATCTGGTTTCTGTATAGCCAATAAGCTAAGAATGGTTTTTATGCTTAAAATTTAAGGTTTAAAAAATGAAAAGAATATTTCATGACATGTGACAATTCTTTGCAGTTCAGGTTTCAGTGCCCATAACTAAAGTGTTGTTGGAACACAGCCATGATCATCCACACCTATTTCTGTGGCCGCTTTCATGTTCATGGTGGCAGAGTTGAGTTGGAATAGACACTCGACAGTCACAGAGTCTAACATGTTTAGTATCTGAATAGATCAACCGAAGGACTTGTATACATGCATATAAGTACAACCAATGGACACAAAACTCTGGGGAGGGAGAGTATGTATGGGAGGGGGGGGGGCAAGGTTAAAATATGTACACAGATAATAATTTAATTAAAAAACGTTAATAAATAAATAAATAAAATGTTTAGTATCTGGCCCCTTACAGAGAAAATTAGCTGACCCCTGACCTAATGGGAAGAGTGTTAGTAACAGGGCTGGGACTAAAAGAAACCAAGTGTTACTGGGAAAGTATAACTAGTAGCGGTGTGCAGGGCTTACCAGTGGAGATCTGTGTGAGCTGGAACCGCAGGAGATTCTGAAGGAAATGGGCTTGACCTTCCCACCAAGCAGCCTCTTCTCAAACGGGGCCTGGCAAGCTGGGTGAGCACGCGGCTTCCCAAGGAACGGTGATGGAGTGCAAGGACTTTTCCTCTTGTGCTGGCGTGAGTGTTTTTTGAAGGCAGTAGGTCCAAGTGTGTGTACACTCTAAGGTCCACCCCCTTAGGCAGGTGAAAGGTGACTTTAGCTAAGCCAGGGGCGGTTAGATCAACAAGCTAAATACTTCAAGTTATTTGTGTTCACCATGATAAATCTTCTAACTACCTGGGTTGCATCAGTCTTCTGGCTCGGGTCTGAAGAGCAGAAAAAGGAAAAAGGAAATACTGTCAGAAGGTCTTAGGAAATAATAGCATCTCTGGCTTACTGGTTCAGTGCAGGGACCTCACTATAATTGGACCTCAAAGTGGCCGTAGATACAGCTTCTTACTTTCCAACTTGTTTTCTTTTGCTTCGAAGGCTTCTGAACACAGAGATGACCAGGCCTCCCCCAGCGAGCTCCCCAGTATGGTACTTTGAAAGTGAGGTGTCACACCACTGGGGTTCGCACGGGCAGTGGAGCCCTGTAACAGGACTACGGTTTCTAGTCTAAAAACAGATGAGGCAGTAGAGAGATTAATTTTGTTTGGGAGTTAATTAATTACTTCGTTTTTTATTTTTAATCGACTATTTTTTAGAGCAGTTTTAGGTTCAAAATAAAATTGGAAAGTACAGAGATTTCTCTCATATCCCCCATTCCCACAAATGCACATTGTCTCCCCTGCCAACATCCTACATTTTAGTTACTTTTCCAATGGAGGACATATGCATGTGATTCCAAGTGGAAAAGGTACAGATGTGAGGCTATCCTGACATTTGAACCCCAGCCAATAGCCCTTTTCCCAGAGGTATGCCCCTGTCCTACATGGGGTTACCTGGGGCTTTAGGGTTTTGGCTTTCCAACCTGGGAGTCATGGTTATTTGGAGCTCATGGGTGCCACCCACCATGTTCCTTCAAGTTGGTGGTAAGAAGTTTGGTCATTGCCGAAACCGGTTTGCTCAGTGGTAGAGCATCGGTCTGCGGACTGAAAGGTCCCGGGTTCGATTCCGATCAAGGGCATGTACGTTGGTTGTGGGCACATCCCCAGTTCGGGGTGTGCAAGAGGTGGCTGGTCGATGTTTCTCTCTCATCGACGTTTCTAGCTCTCTATCTCTCTCCCTTCCTCTTTGTAAAAAATCAATAATATATATATATATATATATATATATATATATATATATATATATATATATAAATAAATAAATAAATAAATAAAGAAGTTTGGTCATTGAGCTCACCCACTGTGGGACGGGTCTAAGACCTTGTACCCACCGCCCCGTGTTTCGTGGTGGTCCCCTTTTAATTAACAAAGCTTGATTAAGTTTTGTTAAAGCCACCTGTGCCAATGGAAGGACATCTCACTTCTTTTTCAAAGACACTAGAGCATTCTCTTAGTAAATCTACCGGGCTGAGGAGGGTTAAGAAGCATCATAAAGTTACAAGAGTATTCTGTAGAAATTGAAGTTTCCTTCTCTTCTCATTGGCCAGGAAGGCTGGGGGAAGCAAGAGCTGCTCCTACATCACCTCTCACACAACCGTGACTTCTTGCTTGACTCACTGTTTTATGGGATTGGGTCCTCCAGTGGCCTGGGTCCTAGGATAGGTAGGCAGCTGTTCAGGATGGAGGTGCTGGGTGGGGAGAAGTTGAAGCCTCTGGATCTCAACTATGGACTGATGCTCCTTAAGGAAGGGTCTATCTATACTGTGTAAAATAGTAATTGATAACATGATCTGAGATTTACTTTTCAATTAGTTCATGTGGAATGTTATACTAATTTCAGGTGTACAACATGGTTATTAAACATTTTATATACCTAATGAAGTTGATCTGCATTTTTTAGTCCTCACCTGAGGATATTTTTCCATTGATTTTTCTTTTCTTTTCTTTTCTTTTTTTTTTTTTTTAGGGAGAGGGACAAAAACAGAGAGAAATATCGGTGTGAGAGAAATTCATCAATTGGTTGCCTTCTGCACTGGAATCAAATCCTGGACCCCTCTATCCACAGGCCAACCTATCCACTGAGCCAAACCAGCCAAGGCAATCTGAATAGTTTTTAAAGTTCAACTGCTGCCCTAACTGGTTTTGCTCAGTGGGTAGAGCATTGGCCTGTGGACTGAAGGTTACCGGTTCGATTCTGGTCAAGGGCATGTACCTTGGTTGCGGGCACATCCCCAGTAGGAGGCAGCTGATCAATATTTCTCTCTCATCGATGTTTCTAACTCTGTATACCTCTCTTCCTCACTGTAAAAAATCAATGAAATATATTTTTTTAAAAACACAAAAAAAACTCAACTGCTAACATGTGAGGTTATCCAACTTATTTTGACCCTAACTCAGATTCTGATCTTTGGGGAGCCTAGCAAGCCAGCATGTCATTCCATTGCTTTTTGTCTGTTCTCACTGTCTTACTGGGTGTTTTTGGACAATGGTTACTATTAATGTTATTTTGTAATTAAAGAGACCATCATTTTCCCTAAAAGTAGATTTGTCATAGCTAACCTCACATACTACCATAACACCCTAAATTGCTTAAAAATATTTGGTTTTTATTAGAATTGAGCCATTTCTCATTTTTTATCTCCTTTTGTGCCAGTTTCACTCCTTTGATTCTTAGATACTTTGTTTTGTTTTGTTAATCCTCACCCGAGGATATTTTTCTATTGATTTTTTTGAGAGAATGGAAGGGGAGGGAGAGAGACAGAAGGAAACATAGATGTGAGAGAGACACATCAATTGGTTGCCTCCTGTGTGCACCCCAACCAGGGCCAGGGATGGAGTCTGCAACCAAGGTGTGTGACCTTGATTGGAATTGAACCTGGGACCCTTCAGTCCTCCGGCTGACACACTATCCACTAAGCCAAACTGGCCAGGGTGATGTCAACTAAATTCCCTGTTTCAAGGAAAAGATCCCATGCTAAATATGTTATGCATATTTTTATATCCCCTCCTCTGTTCTACTCACGGATCCTTAATAAGTTGTTAGGTTAACAAGTTTGCAATCATTAAATTTTTGGTTATAAAAGCCTGGGTAAAGTTTGTATTTTTGTTTTTTTATTTATTGACTTTGAGAGAGAGAGAGACAGAGAGAGAAATATCAATTAGTTGTTTAACCCATGTATACATTCATTTGTTGGTTCTTGTATGTGTCCTGTCCAGGGATTGAACCTACAACTTTGGTGTATCACGGTAAAATTTTTATTAGATAAATTGTATGTTCAGGTCATTAGAGTGGGCTTCTGAGGTTGTACTTAACTAGTAATCACCTTTAACAGAAAGTCCTTGTTCATTTTGCCTTTACATATGTATTATTTTACCTAAAAAACAAACAAACAAACAAAAAACTCGCCTATTTAGAGATTTTATTTTAAAAGGAAATAAGAAGCCACGGCTGCTCTGACTTTCCAGTAAATTTTGTTGATGAGGATAAGTTCTGAAGAAAATCAGGTATCTTCTTTCCTGAAGATCTGCAAAAGTAGGGTAGATGTTTATCATTCTGGAATGCTCTGTCTGGAGGCTGGAGAAAGGCAGGTGAATGAGTCTCACTCTGTTAATCAAAATTGGATTTCTGGGCCCAAGCCCACTCTGGGTTAATGGATTTGGGGTGAGTCCCATGCAGGCATCTGCACAGCCCTGCACACTCCTCTCCCATTGTTTTCTTTGTGGGGAAAAGTAATGGTGACCCAGTAGCAACTTCTGGATCCTCTAGTCCAGTGTTTCCCAAACTTTTGACATATGTGTACCCCTTCTATAATTTTCGTAATGCTGAGTACCCCTCATACTCATGAGAACATAGAATTAGGCACAGCTAAGCATGGTGCAATGCATATCCCCACCAAACTCTTCCCGTACCCCTGTGGGTACGCGTACCACACTTTGGGAAACACTGCCCTACTCCAATGGTTTGCAAACTGCGGTTCATGAGCCACATGTGGTTTGCAAGCCATGGTTTGCCTCTCTGTTGACTGAGTTTGCCGACCACTGACCTAGACTCTCAATTCCAGTAATTACAGGCTGTTGTTGTTCCTTGTGATTAAGCCCTATCCAGTGGTTAGCAAACTCATTAGCCAACAGAGCAGAAGCCATGGCTCGAGAACCACATGAGGCTCGTGAGCCGCAGTTTGTCGACCATTGCCCTAGTCTTCCCAGAGGCCTTCCCACGGGTGGCAATGAATATACTCAGTGCATTCTATTTGTGACTAGAGGCTCGGTGCATGAAATTCATGCACAGTAGGGTCCCTAGGCCTGATTAGCAATCAGGGGGGTCCTCGCTGGTACCTGCCTTGGCCAGCCTGGCACTACCTACTCATGAGTTCTGCACCCCACCGCCACCGGTTGCCTCCCTCTGCAGGGCAACTGTTGGGGAAATTGGGGGCTCCCTGCTGGCATCAGCCTTGGCTGGCTTTGGGCCTGCGGTCTGTTGGCAGCTCCTGAGTGGAGGTTCTGCCCCCCTGGTGGTCATTGCACATCATAGTGACCAGTCATTCCACTGTTCGGTCAATTTGCATATTAAGCTTTTATTATATAGGACTATGAAATTTGGGGCATGAAATTTGTGCATGGGGAGGTGGAGATTGAAGGGGAGTTCCCCTGAACCCTGTCTGTGCCCTCTCACAGTTCAGGACCCCTCGCTCCATACCGCCCACCTGCTTGCTGCTCCTTAGCGCTGCCACAGAGGCGGGAGAGGGTCCACTGCCATGCTTGCCCACCGTGAACCCGGCTTCTGGCTGAGCAGCACTCCCCCTGTGGGCGCACTGACCACCAGGGGGCAGCTCCTGTGTTGAGCATTCCCCCAATGGTGCATCATAACAACCAGTTGTTTTGTCTGTTCGGTCAATTTGCAATTAGTGTTTTATTATGTAGGATAGGATTATCTCCCTTGTGGCTTCTGCAGGAAGGGCTTTGGTATTGGTTAGAGAGTGGACTTTGCATGTATAACTCAGAAGGAAGAGGGCATTTTATCCTAACAGATTTCTTACAATACTTCTGCATTTTTCTGACTAGGGATTCTCTGTCTAGAAAGGCATTTTACTCTCTAAGATAAAATTGTGGGAAGGAATTGAAGGGATACTGGGTGAATTGAACTTTCCAGAAAGTATGTCGAATTTTCCCTGTGTTACAGTTTTGTGGAGTGAAGTATCCTCTCTCTCCTCCCCTAAGTAGATGGGATATGGAGGCAGAATTGGCAACTGAAAGAGTTACATTGAAGTTTCATTTTAATTTAGAGTAAGTGAAAACAGGTGGTGGGTAAGGTTACACAAACTACTGACTGGCTCCCTACCAGGATGTTTGAACCAGCTTCCTTGGCTCAACCTAGCAAAACTGTGAGAAGTCAGACTTGGATGAAAATTGTATAAATATTATATTCAACTTGTTGGTAGTCCACAGAAACAAAGTGTAAAGAGAAAGAATCTAATTGTGGTATCCTAGAAGCGCTGCAGTGTTATAAAATGTTAAGTAATCTGAAATCTTCACAGGAAGCACCTCTTTCCTGTCCCTGTAGGAAATTTTGAGCTATTCCACTGTGGGTTCCATTTGCTTTGATTTTGATTATGAATTTTGTAAACAATCATGGTGGGTAAAATTCTGAGCAACAAAATCCCATTCAAACTCTTCAACATCTCCTCTGGGGGAACAATGTGGCCTCCTCACAGACACCTCTCCCACAAATCTGACTTCTCGTCACCAGGTCCCTTTGCTTTGGCCTGTCTGTACTCCATCCTCCCTCGGGTCCTGGATTGTTGTCTCCTCTTTGGGGATTTTTGCTCTCACACTTACTGGGCCTTCTGCCTACATGAGGGTGCCTGCTGCAGCCCTCACCACCCTGCCCCAAGTAAAGACCCACAGCAGCTGACCGACCCTGTGCACTGAGTCTCAGCTCTAGTCTCAGCCTGCAGGGCCACCTGCCACCTGTCCTTCCAAGGGCCGCCTCTGCTCTCCCATGGACCTCGTGCTGATGGCATTAGGTTTGTGTGTCTGGTGTCTGTCTGTCCCTCCTGAGCTTGTGAGCTCCAGGCCGCTCTTCTGCTATTCTGTGCGTGTTTCCAGCATCATGCAATGATAGTCTGGCTGTCCCACTGGCATGTGAGAGAGTTATGGTTTTTAACTTGACCACACAGTAGGAAGGGAAGGTTTGTCAGGGAGAAGAGGATAGATTTGTGAGCATGGGGCTGCCCTGAGGCTGAAATGAAAGTGTCCACCTAGAACTGTCACGCAGTGGCAGGAGTGGAGACAGGTGAACTGGACACTGCCGCCCCCCTCGGCTTGCTGTGTGGGACAACAGTGCCTGCCTGCATAATTTACTCCTGTTCTGAGGGGTGGAGCTATTTGAGAAAGTCTGCTGGGGTTTACAAGGAGCTCGGGGTTCCTGTGGCTCTTGTTTTTAAGGAATCAGAATTCCTTCCTGTGAACAGTATGATTAATCCCTCCTTGTTTCTCCAGAAACTCGCTGCATGCAAGATAAACCTTCCCCAACAATGTCGCCAACATCTGCCCACCCTTCGTCAACCCCTCCCCACCCTTCACCAACATCTGCCCACCCCTCATCATCTCCTCCCCACCCTACTCCTCCCCACCCTACTCCTCCCCACCCTTCCCCTCCCCACCCTTCCCCTCCCCACCCTTCACCACCCCCAGTGCCTGAGAGCCCCTCAGTGCACAAGTACAACGTGAGTGGCACCAACGGAACCTGCCTGCTTGCCAGCATGGGGTTGCAGCTGAATGTCACCTACAAGAAGAAGGACGACAAGGTAGGCTGAGCCCCAAGAAGCCCCTTGCTCTCTGTGTGCTGCAGTGTGGGAATTCAGTGTGTGTGCATGGCTGTTCAGAATATAAATCAGAGGGAATAAAAGTCAGTGTGCATATATCTGTACTTAGCTTATTGGCCACAGCCAGGCACACTCCTGTCATAGTATGGCAGCTTTCCTCTGAAACAGCAGAATCAAGTCATTGTGGCAGACAAAGCATAAACCGTGCGGTGTTTGGCCTCTATAGAACAAGTTTGTTGACCCCTGAGAAAATATTAAATTTTGTATAATTTTTACCACTCAGACATTTAAATGTTTTTTTTTTAATAAACCTTTATTGTTCATGTTATTATAAAAGTTCCTCATTTTTTTCCCCCTCCACCAGGTTCCTACCCCACCCTCTGCCCTTTCCCCACACCCCATTGTCCTCATCCATAGGTGCACAGTTTATGTTCAGTCTCTTCCCGCACCCCCCACTCCTCTTTTCCCTGAGAGCCATCAGTCCACTCCCCTTCCATACCTCTGATTCTATTATATTCAACAGTTAATATTGTTCATCAGGTTTTTAAATTCCCTTGGTTTTTAGATTCACTTGTTGATAGTTATGTATTTATTGTTCATAATTTTTATCTTTATTTACTTTCTCTTTCGGAAAAACCCCCTTCAATTCATATAATTCTGGTTTGGCAGTGATGAACTCCTTTAGCTTTTTTTTATTAGTGAAGCTCTTTATCTGGCCTTCGATTCTGAATGATAGCTTTGCTGGGTAGATTATTTTTGGCTGTAGGTTCTTACTATTCATCACCTTGAATATTTCTTGCCATTCCTGTCTGGCCTGCATGGTTTCTGTTGAGAAGCTGACAATCGTATAAGTGCTCCTTTATAGGTAACTATTTTCTTTGCTCTTGCTGCTTTTAATATTCTCTCTTTGTCTTTTGCTCTTGGAATTTTAATTATGACTTGTCTTGGTGTGGTCTTCTTTGGATTCCTTTTGTTGGGGTTCTGTGCGCTTCCTGGACTTGTAGGTCTAATTCTTTCACCAGGTGGGGGAAGTTTTCTGTCACTATTTCTTTCAGTATGTTTTCGGTATCTTGCTCCCTCTCTTCTTCTAGGACCCCCATAATTCTGATGTTGGTTCTCTTGAAGTTGTCCCAGAGGTTTCTTACATCATCTTCAACTTTCTGGATTCTCTTGCCTTCTTGCTTCTGCGGAGGAGTATCTTCTGGCTCATTATGTCCCAAATCTTTGACTTGATTCTTGTGATCTTCCATTCTGTTTTTAGGACTCTGTATAATATTTTTTATTTCAGAGAATGTATTATTTCTTGTTGATCCCTTATTATTTCTATCTGATCCCTTTTCATATCCTCATAGGTCTTATCGACCTTTTCTAGGAAATTCTTGAAAACCCTTATAAGTGTGGTTTTGAACTCTATATCCAGTCGCTTTTTTTTTTTTTTTAATATATTTTATTGATTTTTTACAGAGAGGAAGGGAGAGAGATAGAGAGCTAGAAACGTCGATGAGAGAGAAACATCTATCAGCTGCCTCTTGCACACCCCCTACCGGGGATGTGCCCACAACCAACGTACATGCCCCTAACCGGAATCGAACCTGGGACCTTTCAGTCCGCAGACCAATGCTCTACCACTGAGCCAAACCAGTTTCGGCTCCAGTCGCTTTTTGTCCTCCATTTCTTTGTGATCTGTTTCCTTGTCTTGGCATTTTCGCAGCTTCCCTGAGTTGATAGCCTTAAAAGTCTCTGTGTTCAGCTTGGATTGGGTGGAGTTTCAGGGTGGAGCCTACAGCCTTGGCTTCCGTCAGCCACGCCCTATGAGGCTCCTGAGTCTCAGTGTTCCTTAGAGTCCTTCAGTACTCGTTGCAAGCACCTCTGAGAGAAATGTGCCCTTGAGTTTCGCCTGCTACCAAACAGTCTAGGCTCTCCCCCAATGAGTCCGGAACTGGAGTTCAGTGCAGTTGGAAGTGGGGTTGGAAGTGGGGTTCAGAGCAGTCTGGAGCCTCCGTCTCCTTCTCGCCAGGGCAATCCAGCGGTGCACGCCTCCGGGACCTCCTTTTGTCGCTCCCCCGGGTCTCCACCCTACAGCCCAGGCTCCCTCTGTATGAACCCGGGTCCCCAGGGTCTGGCCCAGAACTGGGGTACAGTGCAGTCAGAAGCCTCTGTCTCCTTCCCACTAGGGCAGTCTGGCAGCAGAGCCAACAGTCTGTCCTTTGCGCGCAATGCACGTGCCTCCAGGGGTACTGCCTTAACACCGCCCCCCTGAGATTCCACCTAACAGCCCAGGCTCCTTCTGTGTGAGCCTGAGTCCCCAGGGTCTGGCCCAGAACTGGGGTTCAGCGCTGTCGGATGTGGGTTTCAGCACAGTCCGGAGCTTTTATCTCCTTCCCACTAGGGAACGCCAGCCAGGCACTCAGCCTCCCCCTCCTCTCCGGCTCCTTCCTCTCCTCATGCGCGTGTCTCCATACTTTAAGCTCTTACAGCTCCTCTGATTTTCCTTCTGGTTTTCCCTTTCTTTCTCGTTGTAGAATTTCCAGTCAGTTGACTTTCCTGTAGTTCTGGGTGATGTCCATTTTGTATTTTAGTTGTATTTTATTGAAATTGTGTGAGGCTGCAGTTAGGTGTTATCTGTGCCGCCATCTTGGATTCTCCCCTTAAATGTTATTTTTCTGCTTTTCCTTTGAAATAATATTTCTTCCTAATGACAAACTCTGTGGGGCTGTGTCAGATAACTTGCTTGTGATGAAGGTGAAGTTGTGACCGCTGGGAGACGGTGAGAAAGGCACTAGGACCTACTACACCTTTCCTCTGGGTATGGGCCATTTTGAAAGTAGCAACAAGAGGTAGCACTAAAAATTGTGCCAGAAATCTGCACTAGTGTTTTTTAAACACTAAAAAACTTTTAATGTTTTTCTTACAGTTTTGGTTAAAGTGAAAGTGACCTTGAGGTTAGTTTTTTAGGATTGCTTTTGTTTTTCAGCAATAGGGAACCCAGGGTGGGAGATGGAATGGTAACTTGTTTGTTTTTCTTCTGTAGACTATGACCAGAGTATTCAACATTAACCCAAATAACACCAAAGTGGGTGGGAGCTGCACTACCCAGCTGGTGACCCTGGAGCTCCAGAGTGAGACCAGCACTTTCCTTGCCTTCCAATTTGGAATGGTGAGTGTCCATGTTCATTTCCCTCAGGGGGGCTTCAGTGCCAGACCTGCCTGGCATCTCAGCACGCATCTCGCTGTGGTTTTTGTCCTGCTCTTTTTGCTCTCTCACTTGGTGTCTTGTGGCCACAGTCCCTAAGCTGAGCACACCATGTGCAAACCAGAATGAAACAACACAGGTCCTGAAACCCAGAGCTCTGCATTGGGAAGGAGGAGTCTCCTCTGCCTTCCCTTTGTCAGTCTTTTTGGACCCTTAGCTCCCTCTTCCCCTTTCTTGTTTACAAGTGGACCTTCATTCATTTATTCATCAGGCATTAGAGAGTGCCTGCTGTGTGTGTGCCCAATTGCCACTGTTAGCACTGGCTGCAGACAGGGAAGGGGCGACTTCAGGGCAGTTGCTCAGGTCAGCCGCCCTCACCCCTTTAACGAGAAGCAGCATCTCTGTATTCTGTACCTCTTTTCTTTATACCTGTCTGGGAAGAATCATACACAAAGTTAACATGGGAAGAATAAGAAGTACAACGTATGAATACTTATAATGCACTGTGCTGGTGAACTGTTTAATAGTTGGGTTTCCCATAATAAAGTTTAACTTCCCTAAAGTTCAGTAAACCTTTGGGAGGCAGGGGGCAGAGTTTACCTTTTTAGAATAAGGCTTCCTCAATCCTTTTAGCATAAAATCTGATTATGTAAACAAGAAGATCTTGAAGGAAATCACAATTTGTGTTCTTGATATTTATATGATGCCTTTTATAGACATGATACTCTTCAGTTTCATTCTAAAGCTTAGAAACATGAGAGATCAAATTCATTACCAAACTTTACAACAAATATGTGAATCTGTTGACTGGTTAAGGATTATCTTCTCTCTTTTTTTTATCTTCTCTTTAAGAATGCGAGTTCTAGCCGTTTTTTCCTGAAAGAAATCCAGTTGAACATGACTCTTCCTGACGCCAAAGGTAAGATCCCCACAATTCCCCTGCCCCTCCCGGTGTCTCAGAGCACTAATTCTCACCTGCCTTTGCAGAGCCCTTCAAGGCTTCCAATAACTCGCTGAGAGCACTCCAGGCCACTATGGGGAATTCCTACAAGTGCAATGCCGAGGAGCACATTTGGGTCACAGATGCCTTTTCTGTCAACATTTTCAAAGTGTGGGTCCAGGCTTTCCAGGTAGAAGGCGACAAGTTTGGGTCTGGTAAGTAGCATTGAAGGCAGCGTTTCCGACTCTGAGTGGGCTTCGGCAGGCTTCACTTCTGTTTAGCTTCTGTGTTGCAAGGAGGGTTGGGAGTGCAGGTTCCCTTTCCCAGCCTAAGAGAGTTCAGAGCAAATTCCCCTTCCTGTGTTAGCTTGCTTCCAACATGCCCAGCACGGCTCAGTTGTGAGCGTGTCACTATTTGAGCAAAGGCAGTTCTTTTAACAAGTGTGGCTCTTCCCTCTATTAAATTGGGGTAGTAAAATGCTATCTATTTTGTGAGTTCAGTGTTCAGAAGGGCCCAAGCGCGTAGGACTGCACACTGACCATAATTTCCTAGCCACGCGAATGCCCCGCCTCTCTAGGAGCTTCTGCAAGTGGTAACTAATTAGGATTGGAGCCCCTCCCTGGTGTAATCCTCCCCTGCTGGGTGTGGCGGCGGGCAGAGGTAGAGAGGAGGGAGAGGCCTCTGTGGGGTCCGCATGGTGACAACCCGCGTGCACATGGCGTGCTCCCGTTTGTCTCCTCAGTGGAAGAATGTCAGCTGGATGAGAATAACATGCTGATCCCCATCGCCGTGGGCGGGGCCCTGGCAGGACTGGTCCTCATCGTCCTCATCGCCTACCTCATCGGCAGGAAGAGGAGCCACGCTGGCTACCAGACGATTTAGCCCAGCCGCAGACCGGCAGAAGCTGCAGGGCCCTCTGTTCATTTCCCTGAGCTTAGGTTGATATTGAGGGAGGCACACTTTATTGCAAACTGATTTTCAGATCTGCTTTATCCAATGTGAAGTTCATCTTGCAACATTTACTATGCACAAAGAGTAACTATTGCAATGACGGTGTTAATTTTGCTAATGGGGTTAAATATTTTGCTAACTGGTTAATATTTACCAAAGTAGAACTTTAAGGGGGGAGGGTAAGAGTGCTTTTCTAAATGGGCACTGGCTCCACTATCATTTGACTTATTAAGGTTCTGTTGTTTAGTTTCTCTTCATTCTTGACTCAGATATAAGCCTTACAAAGGGAGGTTCTCTGTTCTTAACACTTACAACTGATGAAGGCTGGCTAACTGTTAGACTGACACAGTTAATAAATTAGTAGAGAAAGAAAATTTTAAAACAGAAGTACTTCAAAAGAGGAAACTCTGGAATGCTTAAGTTACGCTTTAGAAGCCAAGACAGGCCTGGCCCCCACAGGCTGCACAGCTGAGCATTAAAGCAATTGGTCTTTCCATGCTCTGAATTCAAGAGATGGCATTTTTTTAAATAGAAAGATGGGTGTTATTTTTACTTACTTTTTTTTTGTTTTTTGTTTTTTTTTGTAAAGTGATTTTCAGTCTTCTGTTTGAGGTTCGGGGTGATCCTGTGTCTGCACTTGTGTACAATAATCGGTTTCACTCTCTGATTTATCCGCTTGCAGCTCGGGTGGGCTGTGCACTGAGGATCCCTTCATTTAATGCATTGCTGTAACAATGCTAATAAAATGTCTCTTTCTTTCTGTGTCTGGACCTTGTGCTTTTGTCAGCTCTCGGGATGAATGATGGAAAGCAGTGTGTAAGCAGGGGTGGGTGTGGTGCCAATTACAACTGCAAGTGGGGAATCTGCCCAAGCCATCCTGCTTCTAGGAGAGCCGATGTGTAGCCAGTCTGCTGGTGGCAATTTGAGAACATGAGTCGTGCCTAAACGTTGGTCTTCAGTTGTGACAATGCAGCCATAGCGCTGTTCTACCCACTCTGTGAGAATGGGAGGGGAAGGATGAATGTGGATTCCCTCGCTGCACTGTTTGGGACGTGTGGCTCTGGAGACAGGATCTACCTTTGAAGATGGGCCTTATCTGGTCCTGCCGCAGGCCCTGCCAGCTGTGCGTGGAGCTTTCAGAGCAGGCGCTCAAGACTCAAGTTTTATTTAATCTTAACTTTTAAGCAAAGATTGGTGCCCTCTAAGGATCTATGGGCCTTGGTTGGCTCTTGCTGAGGGCAGCCTGCCTGCTGGGTGACCCTGGACTGCAGTATCCCTGACCACCTGCACCCCAGAATCTGCTGTCCACATGGGCAGAAGGAAACTTGCTTTTGTATAGCTGAGGTAGCCATTGGCTGTCCTTAACTTGGTAGCAGTTCTTTTCAAACCAAGCATAGCAGTTTTGGGCCATGTGACAAATACCAAGATGCAACAGGATTGCAGTTAGACAATCTGAAAGCCGCCTGGGGATGAGGTCCAGAGCCTGCAGGCAGCGGCATGACCTCAAGCTGTAGTGCACCATAAGGTTCTTGGATTTTCATTTCCCCTGTCTGAACAGTACGGACACATTATGCCTGATGCAGAACTGAGAAACCAGCAGTTGGCTGAGGGTCGGGGCTTAGCAGGTGTGTCAGGATTTAGAGAACAGTAGAAGTAGTGTGTGTCTAGAGGGGCAACAATTTCCAAGATCCCAGACAGGCCTAGAGGCGCAGCTGCCTACATTTCAAGAAGGGGAACCCCCATCACTGGGTTCCTTTCAGGGAAAGCCCCACCGCTGGTTCATCAGGTACAGCCCCAAAAATATACCTTCAGAAATTTGACATTATCCTGTCCATGGTGGGTGTCTTGATTCCTAGGACCAAAAGGCTAGGGATCACACAGCTGGTGAAGTATCAGGACTAGGAGCTCTGAGGCCACTCCAGGCAGCTGTGCCAACCCCATGCCAGTGACCCTCGTGCTTGGCTGTTTGTTGGAGGGCTCACCAGGCTCAGCGTCTAAGGTGGATTGGGACATCAGCATGCTGTTCTGGTCTAGGCCCAGCTTCATCAGTAGCTGCGGAGAAAGGAGGCATTTCTGTGATGGCCCAGGCTGCTATCGGGTGAGGCTGCCATCACCCAGGTCCCTTAACTGTGCCTCCCTTTGGGGGTAAAACTCCCCACAATCACAGTATAGATGTGGGATGAGGATGGGTTATTAAGTGGGAGGACTTTTTTTTTTTTTCTTTGAGAAATCGTGTTTTCAGGTCACACTGCTGAGTAGAGCAGGCAAGCATGGGCCTCCTCAGATGGGCAGGTTCTAGGGATGCAGGCCAACTGCTTCCGAGTTCCCCAATGTCTCCCATCTGCCTGCTCCCATGGGACCCCACTTGTCCCACCTGTCTACCCTTGCCCCTGCCCTGTCCCCGTGTCCCTGTCTGCCCCTGCCTTCCCCATGCAGAGTTGTCTACGCAGGCAGCGAGATTTCTCAGGCAGCACCACCATCAGGGCTCAGGGTGGGGTGAAGGGCCTGGGTGGGAGGTTTGTGTCCTCAAGACCCGAGAGGAAGGGGTCCAGGAAAAGGTGCTGCATCAAGCACTCATGGGCTCAGATCATACTCATTCTTTACGTGACATGACAATTTTTTTAAAAAAATTAAATTACCTTTCTAGCCCTGGCCAATGAGGCTGTTGGTTGGGCATTTTCTGGAGCACCAATTTGATTCGTGGTCAGGGCACATGCCTGGGTTTTGGGCTCACTCCCCAGTAGGAAGTGTGCAGGAGGCAACCGATAGATGTTTCACTCTCTCATCTATGTTTCCCTCTTCTCTCTAAAAACCTAAAAATCAAATTTTAAAAAATCCTTTTTAAAAAAATGACCTTTCTAAAGAATGATCCCTTGGTACATTTACAAACCTCACGTGAAGGTAAATGTTCTGCCACAGAAAGGAATAAAATAATATTTAATTGGCATCAGTCATATGACAGTTTACTGTTTTAGTTTTAACTTTCAGTTGGCTGGCAAGCTCATCTCAAAACTCATAGGTGTTGACATAACTTTATTAAATACAAACGCACACCTCACATTTTATATATTGTCTCAGGTAAAAATATATCTTCAGGAATTTGACTTCATAGCTCATCAGTGACAGAATGGCATGATTTTAAACTGCTCTTTTAAAAAATTCACGACTAAAATGTAGAGACATTGAGTATTTACAGCACTAAAAAGGAAAGCAGTACAAATTGGTCAACTCTGGGAATGAAGCCTCGTGGTCAGGGCAGAGGGGAGCGTGTCCAGGTCACCCCTGCGCCAGCAGCTTGGCCCTGCAGCTCTCTCGAAGCCTGGTGATGGTGGTCATGGACAAGCTTCCAGGTTCTGAGAATATTTTCTGGAAGAGGAACGGAAATGGTTTAAAAGCAAACCAAAGGTAGGTTTTCACCTTAGCCACCTCTTGTGCTAGGCTAGGCTGTGGCAGACGGACGTAAGACCACACCCACCGAGGGAAGACAGCCCTCAGCCCCGGATAGTTATAAATTCTAGATACTAACCCTTATCAAATACATGGTTTGTCACTCTGCTGTTTGATTCCTTGCCTGTGCAGAAAGCTTTAAGTTTGATGTGTGTATTTTTGCTTCTGTTGCCTGAGTTTTATGTATTGTTTAGACCTTTTAACTGTTGTACCCTTAGTAGCTCTGAAGCCAGTCAAGCCATTCATAAACAGACAAAGCATAAGAAACCAGATTTGAGAAGTGGAAGCAGGAAGAGACTCAGACTCATTTCTAGTAACGAAACTGCCTCACCATGAGGAGAAGAGGGTGTCTGGGAGGGAGGCAGAGCAGAGCAGCGGGCGGGTGGCCACAGCCACATGACTCCAGAGGCCGGGCGTTAGGACGGGCATGAGAACAAACACTGAGCTGGTGGATGTGCCGTTGCATCTTTTTTTTTTTTTTTTTAAATATATTTTATTGATTTTTCACAGAGAGAAAGAGATAGGGACAGAAAGCTAGAAACATGGATGTGAGAGAATCATCAATCAGCTGCCTCTTGCACACTCCCAATAGGGGATGTGCCCGCAACCAAGGTACATGCCCTCGACCGGAATCGAACCTGGGACCTTTCAGTCCGCAGGCCAACGCTCTATCCACTGAGCCAAACCGGTTTCGGGGCCATTGCATTTTTTATGAGTAATCTAATAACTTGTGCAGTTACTGCTGAGAAATTCACGGTTGTAAATCAGGCCAGGTGTAAAGGCTAGTCATTAAAAAGGTTTTGTTAGAAGAAACTGCATTTCTGAAATTCTTCTGTAGTTTCCTAACACACAGCACCTAAGGACAGGGTAGAGTGTGTGTGTGTTAACTGTCCACGTTCCTGAGAAGGGGAAGTAAGTCACATCTACTGAGAGGTGCCAGGACGTTCAGCTGTCCTCGGCCCATGAATGTCACACTGGGCTCCAGTATGAGATCAGTTTCTATTCTCCAGGACATTCTAGAGGTTCTTGTTTAGGATTTCAGAGACACGTGACGTAGGAACTGCAATTGCTGTGCTGATGTGCTCTTAATACAGAGACATGTATACAGTTTTGTAGAAATCGCTGAGCAAATGCGACTCACCCATTCTAGAGCTCTTTCCCTGCCGACTTCCCTTGAATGCATGACATTTTTATTTCAATGTGGGAGACTGGCAAAACCCAGTGTCTTCGTAACCCTCTGTGCTTCCCTCGAGCTCACCAAGCTCATAGGGCCCAGGAGTGCCTTTGAGCAGCAACGCAGGCAAGGTCCCAACAAGGTCCCAGCTGCTCAGCTGCAGCTGGCTCGTGGGTAGAGCTGTCGCTTCACTGCCCTTTGCATTTATAAATGCTACACTTACTGAGCACTTACTGTGTGCAAGGCGCTCTGCTAGACGCTGACATAAATACCAGAGCCAAGCAGCCTTGAAAGCATTGTGCTGAATGCAAGAAGCCAACACAAAAGGGCACACATTATATGATTCTCCTTATGTGAAGCAAATCCTTAGAAATAGAACACAGGCTGGTGGCTGCCCAGGGTTTGGTGGTGGGGTGGGGTGAGGGAGGAGTGGGGGTAGAGGTTATGGGGTTCCTTTGGAGGGTGATGAAAATGTTCTCAAACTAGATAGTGGAATTATATCTTTGAACTGTTCATGTTCAAAGGGTGAATTTTATGGTATGGGAATTGTATCTGATGAAAACAAACAAAATGCCCTAAATATCCTTAGGATGCAGGACATATTATCTCTTCCTATGATGAGCATCTTTAGTCTAAACGGAACCCTAAAACCTGCCAGCAGCCATACAGAGAGCGCAAGCTATGATTATGTCCAAGTTCAGTATCGGCTCCTACCAACTCCTTGACCTACAACCACAGACTCACATGAGGCCTAAGAAAGCAGGATCCTGCCATCTGCTGCTTGAATTCCTCTATAACATCCTCGCCAAGAGTTACTCCAAGTTTTGACTTAAGTGATGGGCTCCAGCTCTACCTGATAAGCCTCCGAAGGAATCGGTACAGCTTTCTGTCTGACATTTCTTATCCAGCATCCTCATCTTCTCTTCACTGAGGTGCTGGCAGGTGAGCAGGGCTTGGTACCAGCTGTAATGTCAGCGCACGTGCCCACCCGCCTGCCATGTAGAGGATGCATGTGACCTCATGACCACTAGTCCCCACTACAGCAGCTAAATGGGAGGCTGTCTTGTAGGCCAGGTGGAAGCAGAACCCACCCCAGCTTTAGCCTCTGCAGGTTTTCTCTCTCTCAGCAGCTGTCCAGCACACCTCCAGAGTGGCATGGAGAAAGTTCAAGACGCTCATCCCTGTTTCAGAGCCCTAGATGTTTTCTAAGATAGTCCCGGCCCCAGGAGGCTGTCCCCTGGTGGCTCCCAGGCAAAACAGCCCCAACAAGGTGCTTGCTACCTGGCTTTCCGAGGCATCTGAACAGCGCACCCCGTGGATGCAGCCTTCATGTCCTCTGCTTCCTCCTTTGAATTTGTAATTATTTCAAATGTAATTATTTCAAAAGGTGGGCCAGGTGCCATAAAGCAAGGCTGCTCCGATAGCACTCCTCACCTCCCTCCAGTGCCATTCTAGCTCTGGGCTCTGCTCCGGTCTCGCGCCCTCTTCTCCCTAGCCCCGTGGTCAGCAAACTGTGGCTCCCGAGCCACATGCGGCTCTTTGGCCCCTTGAGTGTGGCTCTTCCACAAAATACGACAGCCTGGGTGAGTCTATTTTGAAGAAGCGGTGTTAGAAGAAGCTTAAGTTTAAAAAATTTGGCTCTCAAAAACAATTTCAATTGTTGTACTGTTGATATTTGGCTCTGTTGACTAATGAGTTTACCAACCACTGCAGTAGCCTACCCCAAATCCCCTTACCAGCCTAGGCCTGCCCCAGCTCCCAGGCCTCCTCAGAAGGCCTGTCAAATGCAGCTTCCACTTCTTTCATTCACCAGGTATGAGTCACCTACAGAGCCTGCAGCCCCACTAGGACCAGGAGGGCCATCAGGAGTGACTTGAGATCAGGTACACAGGCGGCAGGCTTGGGAGGGGTTCCAGTCCTCCAGGAACTCTGCCACCTTCCAGGACCCCAGACCCAGAGAAACTAAAGTTCAGATTACATGAGTTGTGTACTCATACCTTGATGCTTCCCAGGGAACTTGAACTGGCCCTACAAGGGGTCCTATAAGCATTGGACCCTGCCCACCTTGGGGCAAGCCACTCCATGGCTGATGCACTGGAGGAGGGGCAGCAGCTGCTGGATTCCAGGCAGGCAGCCCCACCCACCTGCCTCCGGCACGAGGCTCCAGGAGAAGAGGGCCTGGAGGGGCTGGAGTCCCTCCTCAGGGTTTGCTTGAGACGGAGGGTGAAGGGACGAGTGGAGGCAGAGATCCGAAGGAAACACCGAGATAGATGCCTTGCCAGACAGATGTGCAAAGCCGGGACACCCATTCCAGGCAATGGGAACCGCAGAGCAGAGCACCAGCTGAGCACTCCCACACACTCACCTGCATAAAGGTGTGGCATTCAGTCACAAAATTCCCTTTGGTGATCTCCTTGAACTTTTCACAGATGTCTGCGAAACTGGTGGCTTCCAAAATAAAAGCCTGGTGTTGCTTAATCAGGGTCAGAGCCACCCGGAAGATAATCTTGGAGCCTTCGTTGAACAAACAATCCCAGATTCGAAGCACCGTCTGCAGAGAAACAGAAATGGCGCATCACTGCACGCTGATCTGAGCTGGCCCTGGGCCCAGCGAGGCTTGCGACATGCTCACCTCCACGGGCAGGATGTCCACAAACAGGCAGATGAACCAACGTGACACGACCAGAGTCCACAGGACACCGTGCCCGTCCATGAGGGCGGCCACCGCTGGCAGCTTGGTCCTCACCAGCTCCCCCAGGACCTCCTGGTCCGTCTTCAGGCCCAGCATCTCGGGGCTGTAGTAATCTGCCACAGGGATGAAGAGAAAAATCCCAAAACGTGTATCACTTGTTCCACAACCACTGCCAGCCTCATCCCTCGTTCCCTCTCAGCCAGGGACAGAAAACAGGTCTATCCCCGTAGGATCCTTTCCAGAGGAGAGGGGGGCAAAGGTGGAGGGAGGACCAGGGAGAGATGCCATGCCGTGTGGATAAAGGGGCTCCTGAGAGTGATTCCCAAAGCAAGGCTTCCCCGGGTTCCTGGGGGCTCTGGACAGTGAGGCCCTGCTGGGCATCGGTTAAAATCTGCTGGCAGAAAGCAAGAGTGTGTTTACACACCCATGTTCATAGCAGGATTATTCACAACAGCCAAAAAAGTACATAACCAAGCATCTGCCTATGGATGATTAGATGGATAATGTGGTCTACACATGTAATGGAGTAGGATTCCGCCTTTAAAAGGAGGGAAACTGACGCGTCCAGCAACAGGATGAAGCTTGAGGACATCGTGCTAAGTGAAAAGAGCCAGCCACAAGTGAACAAATACTACAGGATTCCACTTATCTGCGGTGCCTAGAGCCGCCAAAATCAGAGACAGGAAGTAGAAGGGTGGATGCCAGGGGCTGGAAGAGGGGAGCTGATATTTAATGGGGACAGAGTTTCCATTGGGGAAGATGAGAAAATTCTGGAGAGGGATGGCAGGGATGGTTACACAACAATGTGAATGCGCTTGATGCCACTGACCTGTATACTTAAAAATGGTAAAGACTGTTGCCCTGGCCGATGTGGCTCAGTTAGTTAGGCGTAGTCCCGTGCATCAAAAGGTTGATTGTTCATCTCCTGGTCAGGGCACATGGCTGGGTTGTGGCTCTATCCTGGTAGGGGGGTGCAGGAGGCAGCCGATGGATGTTTCACTCTCACATTGATGTTTTTCTCTCTCTCCCTATCTCCCAAAAATCAATATAAACTATCTTTTAAAAATGATAAAGATTATAAATGTCATTTTATGTATATGTTAACATAATAAAAAATAAAGCTTTAAAAATCTGCAGGTGACAGCTGCCTTTTCCTGTCATCTAGACTGAAAGAGAGCCAGGCAGCCATGGACATGCCGCCCTATTCAGTGGCTCTGCTCACCGGGACTAAAGGAGGCTTGGGGAGCAGGAGGAGCAGGCTCAGGACCACCCGAGCTGCAGGGACAGCACTGCCTGCAGCAAGCTCCTTCCTGGGAGCTAGAGAAGCTTCAGGGTCGAGGTGGTCCATGGCCTGGCCATGGAGGATGAGGGAGCAGGCACAAGCAAACCTGGCCCCAGTGCCCATGTGGTGCCATCGTGCCACCCCCTACCTACACGGAGTAAGGTGGGGCTCAAAGCCGCTGGTCCCTCTACATCGTCCCTCTGCACCCACCACCTCCCCCAGAGTGGAGGGTCTCGGCACACAAATTAGTGCCATAAAACATTATTTTAAAATATTTGGCCTAAAAGGCACATGAAAACATGCTCAAAGTCACTAATTGTCCAAGAGATGCAAATCAAAACAACAATGCAGTACCGTCTCACACCTGTCAGAATGGCCAACATCAACAAATCAACAAACGACAAGTGTTGGCGAGGTTGCGGAGAAAAAGGAACCCTCGTGCACTGCTGGTGGGAATGCAGACTGGTGCAACCACTGTGGAGAACAGTGTGGAGTTTCCTCAAAAACTGAAAATGGAACTCCCATTTGACCCAGTAATCCCACTTCTAGGAATATATCCCAAGAAACTAGAAACACCAATCAGAAAGGATATATGCACCCCTATGTTCATAGCAGCACAATCTACAATAGCTAGAATCTGGAAACAGCCTAGGTGCCCGTCAGCAGATGATTGGATCAGAAAACCATGGTACATCTACACAATGGAGTACTATGCTGCCATAAAAAAGGGAATTCTCATCATTTGCAGCAACCTGGATGGAATTGGAGAACATCATGCTGAGTGAAATAAGCCAATCAATGAAAGAGAAACACCACATGACCTCACTCATTTATGGATAATAAAGAACATTATAAACTGATGAACCAAAAGATAGATATAAAGACAGTAAAGCAACAGGCAGACTGTCAAATTACAGTGGGGAGGGGAGGAAGATCTGGGGGAGATAATAGATCAACCGAAGGACTTGTATACATGCATATAAGTACAACCAATGGACATAAAACTTTGGGGAGGGAGGGTATGTGTGGGAGGGAAGGAAGGGGGCAAAAAAAAATCAATAAAATATATTAAAATATTTGGCTTAAATCATTTCTAATCCCACAGTTGAAACATGTGCCCTTGATGGGGTGGCCCTGGGATTTCAAGGGCAGTGGCTGCCTCAGCCATGATGGCTCCTCCAGCACTATACCAATGCCTCCCAAGCATCCTGGGGTCCTCTGAGCATGAACACACTCTTCCTTCTTTACTGGTGTTTTTTTGTTATGAAGATGATACATGCCTCTGATAAGGTTGAACACTACAGGAGACTAGCTGGTGAAAAGTCAAAGTCGTCCCCTAGGTAACCACTTATCACTAAGCCGCCTGAGGGGCCTCCTCCAAACTTGTAATGCCATGTTACACACGGACATATCTCGCAAAGAGGATCCTGTCATACCTTCCTTTGCAATCTTCCCCAGCACCTTTCTGCATCCTCATGTACATAGTGAGGTGCCATAACCCACTTCACCGGCTCCTGGCTGATGGGCGTTCACACACTGTCAACCCACATGCGTGTGCTCACGTGTGCAGGGGAATGTCTACACATCGAGCTGCTGGTGAAAGCTCTCTTCGCTGAAGTCTCAAGGAGTCCTACATGCTTTCTCCAACTTGAGGGCAGAGGACACTTCATTCTATTTACTAGAAATTCTAGAAGGAGCCAAATATCCCCACCACTCTAAATACAGGAAGGCAGAGTCAAGATTAAGTCTAAAATTGTTCTTGTTCATTCCCAAAGAGGGCCGACGACTTAATTTGGAAAATTTTCTTTTATGCTAATTTAGTAGCTTAGGGACCCCATGCTGTCGGAACACAGAAAGCAGGACCTGCTAAGGCAACCTCATGATTGCTCTGCTTTTCCCATCAGGGCCCTGGGCACCAGTGGGCAGCCAGTGGTCCCTACAGCTCATGACTACTCGCTCAGCAGACAGAAAGACCAGCACTGCCAACAGCATGTCCATCTTTTGATCGGACATTTGCCTTGCAAAAAAAATACCTTGTTATTTTTAATATGTTAATGTGACGTATTATAATAATTTTAACACTTAATTTCTGCTATAAAAATGTAGCAGGTAATCTATGCAATAGAATAGACAACATTCAGCATGCTGCCTTGTGCATCCCTAGTTTCTCACCATGGCAAACTAAATGTTTTGATTAAAATAATCATTATAAATATTGACACAGTATCACATTCACATTGCTAATTTTCAAAGTGTAGGCTACAATAAACTATGTTTAATACTAAAGTGCCCTGAAAATAATTTAATAGAAGCCAACTTGGTTATAAGATACCAGGGAGGGATTTTTAAAAATTCTTCCCTTTCATGAATTTATTTGGAAATTTGGAGCCATTTACTCTCTTTCTCCTTTTTTTTTTTTTTTTTTAAATGTATTTTATTGATTTTTTACAGAGAGGAAGGGAGAGAGATAGAGTTAGAAACATTGATGAGAGAGAAACATCAATCAGCTGCCGCCTGCACACCCTCATCGGGGATGTGCCTGCAACCAAGTTACATGCCCCCGACCGGAATTGAACCTGGGACCCCTCAGTCCGCAGGCCGACGCTCTATCCACTGAGCCAAACTGGTTTTGGCTCTTTCTCCTTTTTAATTAAGCAATCTTCTGCTCCCTGTAGGCAGAAAGAAGCAGAGTTTCTCTGTGCTCTGTTCCATAGTGCCTCAAGTGCCAACCCAGTGATACGAGGGACATCTCAGAGGGAGCCAGGTTCAGGCGCAGCAGTGATAAGAGGATTTGCCCAGAAGGACATTTAAGCTGTGAGCACAGCACGACCTTCTTCTCGGTTACAGAGACGATTACGGTGGCTTCCAAAAATAGATGTCAAAGTCACACACCGCAGGCCTGAGCCGGGCACCAGGGGAGATCCCTGAAACCCTCTGTACCTATTTTCCCTCCTCAATGCATTCTGCCCTTGAATGTTGCAAGCGAGACAAACCAGTTCCCTGTGTACGTCCCTTCCCGCCTGCAGCATAACCCTACCTGTCTGAGCAGCGGAGCACCTGACAGGCCACATTCCACCCTGCACAGGAACAGAGAAATCCCAGGTAGGCCCTGACCTGGCCTCGCCTGTCTGGGGCCCCTCGTTATGCTTCTCCCGGGGACACTCACCTCAGCAGACAACATAATGGCTGTGTCTGAACACTGAAAGACTATGGTGCTGCGGGGGCAGGGCCGGGGCTGGGTGCTGTCTGGGGTGTGGGTGGTTGGGGTGCTATCTAGGGTGTGGGAGCTGCTGTGGGGGTGGGGTGTACAGCTTTAAAACATGCTCGTGGTTATTGCTACATGAGTAGAAAGTGGTAGGGCTGAGCCCTGGCTGGTTTGGTTCAATGGATAGAGCATTGGCCTGTGGACTTGAGTCCCAGGTTCGATCCCAGTCAAGGGCAAATGCCCAGGTTGTGGGAGGCAGCCGATCAATGATTCTCTATCATCAGTGAGGTTTCTATCTCCCTCTCCCTCTCCCTTCCTCTCTGAAATCAATAAAAATATCTTTAAAAAAAAAAAGGGGGGGTGAAGGGGAGAAAGTGGTAGAATTGGTTTTAAAAAAAGGGGGGGGGGTAGGGTAGAAAGTGGTAGAATCCCGTGAAGTCTAATTTTCAAATGGATGCTCTTCAGCCCGGGGATGAATGTCTGCCTGTGAAAAAGCACACCCGGGTCCCACAGGGGCAGAGCACAGGCTATGGAATACTAGGGAGGAGACCCTATGGGTACGTTAGTCAAGAGAACACATGAAACACATCCTCAAGGGCAGCCGAGACGAAGAGAGTCCCGTGTTC